CTGGTTGGTTGGCTGGCTGGCTGGCTGGTTGGTTGGTTGGCTGGTTGGTTGGTTGGCTGGCTGGTTGGTTGGTTGGTTGGTTGGTTGGTTGGTTGGTTGGCATACCAGTCTGGAAGCAGCTGGAAGAGTCCTGGAAGAGAAAGACTGTAGAATTAGCCCAGCCTCTTCTTTGCTGTGGGCTCCCCAGCTTGCCTGGCCTGTTCCAGGGAGAATGTTGAATTTGGATTAGAGAGAAAATGTTCAGTTAAGTTTCTTTTCTTTCTTTTTTTTTTTCTTTTTTTGGTGGAACATATACCTTTTTTTTAATTTAATTTTATTTTACAATACCATTCAGTTCTACATAACAGCCACAGATTCCCTTGTTCTCCCCCTTCCTGCCCCCCTCCCCTTCCCCCCAGCCTACCCCCCATTCCCACCTCCTCCAAATTTAACCATTTAAAAAATAAAATTACTGAATAAAACCGTTTCAAAAAAACCAGAGAAATCCTATTTTCCTAAAATTTATCCAAGTCTCGATATGTACAAATGTTAAAGATGAGCTGTTCCTTGGTCACCTTTGAAGGGCCGTTTGCATCCCACAGAGGACAGAGACTGTGTTAAGGTCAGTGGCGGCGACACAAGTCAAAGAGGTCACAGGGAAGGACAGGCTAGGGTGGAGGGGTGACCGGAAATGAACTAGAGACAGGGTAGTGATTTACCTTCCTTTCCGTTTTCTTAATTCCTGTTTGTTGAGTTTGTAAAGGTAAGAATCAAGATGGCAGTCACGGAAATGGTGTTTGAGAACAAGAAAGAGGTTTATTCTGATCGTCGTCCCTGTTTTGGTGAAGTTAAAATGGAAAGTCGTTTAAAATGCCATGGGAATGAATTCACAGGCATCACGGATTAAAGACAGACATGGCTTATGTTTCCAAAGAGGAGGAAGAGGTGGATTTCAGGCACAAGGGTGACTTTGGGAGGATGGAGAATTACAAAGAAGGAAAGAAGAGCTATAAAGGCTCCCAGAAAAGGGTGGGTCTAAAGGGGGAGAGTCGGGTGGGCAGGTGCTCTGTCACAGCTGTGATTTTCTTAGAAATAATACAGTAGAAAATAAAGATCAACCTGTCTTCACCTTGGCGCTGTGTTATGCACTAGATCCCAGCAGGTATTTGAGGGCCCAACAGATGAGCGAACTTTGACACCCTTTGTTTTCCTAACAGTTAATCATGTTTTTAGTAACATGACTGAAAAGGTTTTAAAAATTCCAAATGGTCACTTCCAGCCAGCTTTTGGGGTCACCTTTGAATAAATCATTTGACAGTTACTACAGTAGAATTAGGAAATCCCCCACTCAAATGTAAACAGAACATCCTCTATAATTTACTTTTCCTTTTTTTCTTAAAACTCAGCCAGCTAGACCCAAAACTTACTTCATATTTGGTGTGAAAATTGGTGACTCTGTGTGGCCGCCACAGACAGAGGCGCTTATGGTCTCTACCTTGACTGAACTCTTAACACTCGTGTGTGTGTGTGTGTGTGTGTGTGTGTGTGTGTGTGTGTGCGCGTGTGCTCTGAAGGTAATATTGGTACAAAACATAGGAGATTAAAATAACAAATTCCCATTCAAAAGTCACCAGATTCAATAAATGCTATCACTTAGTCATGTTTACTTCAAGTCTTATTTTGTTTTGACTAAAAACACAAAACAGTCCCAAATTTCTTGGACATTTTGGTTCATGACTTTGGGACAAATAGCCAAATGAATGGAAACACATGAACTTTGAACCAATGGTTGAGGGGCCCCCAACTGGATCAGGCCCTCTGAATAGGTGAGACAGTTGATTGGCTTGATCTGTTTGGGAGGCATCTAGGCAGTGTGACCAGGTCCTGTGCTCAGTACATGAGTTGGCTGTTTGAAACCTGGGGCTTATGCAGGGACACTTGGCTCAGTCTGGGAGGAGGGGACTGGACCTGCCTGGACTGAGTCTACCAGGTTGATCTCAGTCCTCGGGGGGAGGCTTTGCCCTGGAGGAGATGGGAATGGGAGGTGGGCTGGGGGGAAGGGGAGGGGGACAGGAGGGAAGAGAACAAGGGAATTCGTGGCTGATATGTAGAACTGAATGGTATTGTAAAATAAAATAAAAGGGAAATTGGCCGGGCGGTGGTGGCACACGCCTTTAATCCCAGCACTCGGGAGGCAGAGCCAGGTGGATCTCTGTGAGTTCGAGGCCAGCCTGGGCTACTAAGTGAGTCCCAGGAATGGCGCAAAGCTACACAGAGAAACCCTGTCTCGAAAAACCAAAAAAAAAAAAGGGAAATAATAACAATAATAATTAAAAAAAACACAAAACACAAAACAGGACCAGGGAAGCTGGAGTTTCCTTAGGGAGAAAAGAACTCAACGCTAGAGTCCAGTGAGAGCGTAATTCGTGGACCAAGTCCCTAGAAGGTGATTGGTGCTCCTGGCAGTTTTGAGGGGAAAATAATGGCAGAATACAGAGGGGGAAATATGACAAGGTATAGAGTCTGTGAAGAAAATAAAAACAGCCTCCATTTTCTAGCAGGAAGAAGGGAGAGAGTTTCTCCAGGTAGCAGAAAGTTTTTGCCTTATCATTTTTATTTTGTTTCTGCGAGATAGAAAGTCGTTTATACCCATCCACTTGGTCCGCTTAAATAGGAAGGAAGGTGGCGGGTAGGCTTAGGAGCCTGGAGAAAATGAGGAGTAGCTACAATACTGTGGAGTAGGCAGAGAGCAATTTCACAGCCAGGCACGATGGTGCATGCCTGAAATCCCGGCCTCTTGGGGGTAGAGGCAGGAGGACCAAAAATTCTAGGCCAGCTTGAGCTACACAGCAAAACCATGTCCAGAAAAGGGGGTGGGGGTGGGGGGGTAGTGAAAAACTTTGATACCTCTGGGATAACTTAGCAAATTGCTTCCTCTGGGACTTCAGCCATTTCTCCTGAATTTCTTTTGCTCAGTGTCATCTGGAAAAATGAAAGAATTCCAGTGAAATGTTTCTAGGGTGGATTGAGGGTATGGCTCATTAGGTCTTCTCTTGACCCAAGCCCTGAACAGCCTTGGTGCTTCTTTGAATTCCCAGAGCAGTTCCTCAGTGCAGGGTCTGCACGATGATGTGAGTTGTGACACCCTACTCTGGTTTTGACACTGTACTTTGCCAGCACCAACTTCATTGTGCATGGCAATTTGGGGGAGATGATGACAATCTGCCCGAAGTGTCTGTGTTTTGTGCTACACAAAGATACTGAGAAGTAATCAACACTCACCACTGCAAAGGATTTCAGCCGGCATTTCACTCAAACATCCACCCAGAACTAGGGGTCAAATAGCACACTGTATGAATTACACTAATGGATTTTTTCATCTGCTGCTTTTGTAGCACAGTACTGCTTTCTTGTCCTGTTCCTAAACAGACGATCTATGTCACTGTCAACATAATAGCAGTCTGTGTATACCAGACAGAGGCCACGCAGGACAGCCCTTAATCCTCTCAAGCTCCAGCAGCAGCAACAGTAATAAAATACAGCTTTGCTCATCCATTTCCCAGCTACCTCTTGGCCAGCTGAAGCTTGTTCCTCAAGAAGGGCCCTTTAGGGGCTGAAGGGGTGGCTCAGTGGTTAGGAGTACTTGCTGCTCTTCTGCAGGAGTTCAGTTCCCAGCACCCATGTTGGATGTTCACACAGCACCAGGCCCTCTTTCCGGCCTCCTAGGACACTCACCAACACAGTGACTTTCAAGAAGGGCCCTGGGAACACTCATTCCTGAGTTTTCACATGTCTAAAATGTCCTTCTGTCCTTAGCCTTGGCTGGGGTTTTGGTTGGATTGTGCCCAGCAGAAACAAGCAGTCGTGGGTCCCTTAACCTTCTTCACCATGCCCTTTCTCACTTTGAAGAAAACAGCAGGGCAGCGCTTCATGACAGTGATGTTCCTGGAAAGGTTTTGAAACTTTTTAATTATCATTCAATGAGATTATACTCTTACACCCTTCGTATTTATGCTTCTGGGGAAAGGCTGTGTCTGTTCCGAGAACCGATCATTAAAACAAGAACAAAATGGTCTTGGATGAGATGAGGCTGTAAATTATATTTCAAAATCATTTGTCTAATTGGTTGAGGGACAAAACACAGTGAGCGACCCTGTGAGTCTTGAGACTTGACCATTGCATGTTGACTAATTTTCAGCACTAATGATCAAATATACTCCTATTTGTCAATGAGCGCTGATTCCAGGTCACTGGAAAGGGAACCGCAGACCTCTTCTCTTTGCCGTGGAGACATTTGCATACGTCGTGCTGCTGTATGTCTTATCACTTGACGATAGCAGTGCGGCTCTCTAACAAAGCGAGAGACTGCGCATTCCGACACCACGGGGAAGCAAGCTGTCAGTGCTGTTGGTTCAAATAAGGCTCCTCCCTGAACCCTGGTACTGGAGAGTATAAAGAGAGCCAGTGTGCTGCTGCGGGATGGTCTGTATGTCAAATGGGTTGCTCTGATTGGTTAATAAATAAAACACTGATTGGCCAGTGGCCAGGCAGGAAGTATAGGCGGGACTAACAGAGAGGAGAATTGAGAGAACAGGAAGGCGGAGAGAGAGACTGCCTGCAGCCACTGCCAGGACAAGAAAGATGTAAGGTACCAGTAAGCCACGAGCCATGTAGTAAAGTATAGATTAATAGAAATGGGCTAAATACAAGAGTAAGAGCTAGATAATGATAGGCCTGAGCTAATGGCCAAGCAGTTTAAATAATATAAGCGTCTGTGTGTTTATTTTATAAGTGGGCTAAGGGACTGCCAGCACTTGGCAGGACCAGAGAGAAAACTCCAGACACAGTGTGCCCTTTGGACTCAGAAGTGGGTGACTTCAAACAAGTTTTGCTCTGGGCCTTGGGCTCACCCTATCCCAAGAAATGTTTGCTTCTCTATTTACTTTTCTCGTTAGAAATTAAAACAGCTTTAAGCTGCAAATTAAAGCCCAAGTTGACCTCCAGCAGCAGTTTATTCTATGTTGACAGTTAGAGAACACTTTGCCTGTTAGGATACTGTTACTCGTGGACTGAAATGCTGAAGAAACCCCTCCCCCTATTTTGTTTTTTTTGCAAAAATCAAGGTATATTCTAGG